TTCGTAGCTAGACACTCGGAAGGGATCCGTCCACGGCAGTTTACGTAGCGCATATCTCAGGAACCGTCGCTGAACAGACTCAACTCTTTCGACACCGTTGTTGTAGTGAAGAGTCCAGACAACCGAACATTATTCTAATATGGAGCGAGACAAGGAGCAGTACAACGATTTAAGGCAGTAGATACCCGTGAAGTCTTTGGCAATCCTGCAGATACACCTTAGAATTCTGGAAGCTTTGTCGACGGCATACGAGATGTGCTGCTTGAAAGAGAGTTGTGTATCCAGAATCACATCTAAGTCCTTAATTTGGCTGACGCTTTCAATTTCAGTACCTAACAAAACTTACTTGAACATAATCGTATCTTTCTTGAGCGAAAAAGAGATAACCGAGCATTACGATTCAGAATACACCAATAACCAAAAGCATTCAACTGACGTTGAAGGAAGCAACAGTCTTTAATTGAGTGAGTTCGAGGGAAGAGTTTAAGGTCATCTGCGTAAGTTAATCGTGGTCCCTCAATTACTAGATTCACGTCGATGAAGTAAATCAGGACAATCAGCGGTCCCAGGTGACTACCCTGGGGTATGCCGGACGTGGCAGCGAACATACGGGACTGGTGATCACCAATAACAACAGTAAGATAGCGATCGGTGAGGTACGACTGAAACCATAGCAAAAGGCAGCCGTGGATACCTAGCCTGTCCAGTTTTGCGATAGATATGCGGTGATTCAATTTATCTAAGGCAGCAGATAAGTCAGTATAAATGACATCCGTCTGAGCACGATCCGACATACTGTTAGAGAAGTAGGAAGTAAGGCACAGCAAGTTAGTGGCAGTGGAGCGACCAGCCATGAAACCATGCTGGTCGATACTAATGTACGGCTTACAGTGGACGAGTAATGGTTCCATAACAACGAGTTCGAACAATTTAGTAACAGCGCTGCCACGGTAGTTGCCTTTCTTGTGTACTGGAAACATGTTCGCTAGCTTCCAACAGGATGGGAAAACGCCGACGTCCACGGACCGTTGAAAAACGGGCAGCAGTGGAGTTAACAAACTGTCCAAGTGCGTTTTGTGGAACGTCGATGGAATTCCGTCAGGACACGGATTGTACGACGACTTGAGTTTCCAGGAAGCCCTTGAAAGCATCTCGGGGTTGATATCAATTCTGCTCATGGTTTGGCCAGAGAGTAGTACGTAACTGGCAGCCAGTCGGGCATGGTAGTCACTCAGTCTCTCGTCCGGGAAGACACTAGCAAATTTTTCAGAGAACAGCTGACAGATATCTTGCGTAGATGAGGCCACGTTACCATTATGTATCATAGACGACGGCAGACCAGCTCCATGATGTTGCTCGTTGACAAACTTCCAAAACTGTTTGGGACACTTTATCTTCCGCTATCCGATAAGCCTCCTCCATCAGAACGGGATCCGCTTCCAGTGGTTTCATTGTATGGCAGTAACGCCAACGGGGAGCAGAGCACTTCCATTGCAGCAATGGATGCAAAATGTGGTCATCACTCACATGCTCATCCCGAAACGGTTGCTTTCCAAAGTCCACGACGCATCGACCGAAATAACTGCTGATGAAGAACAATGAGGAGGACCACACAATGGTTGCTGCCGAGTAAACGATCGCACAGACGATCGCGTGACACACATTGAGAGTGAGCTGCTTCTCTCAACAGCCCGCAGTGGTCTAGAAGTGAAAAAACGTGCGTTTTTTAGTTTATGCGAAAACAGTCCATTTAAGCCATATAGTGTCTTCGGAGAAGTTTGTGCACTTTAAAAGCTCCTTCTTTTGAGCTTAGCCATTTCATGATTATCCACCTAGTAGGGAGATGAAAAATTTACTTTTTTGTTTGTCGAGATAGAAATATTAATATAAAGCTAATATTAATATAAAGCTAACTTTTCAGGAAGCAATTAGTATGTTCTACACAAATGTTTGTTTTTAAAAAATACACCATTTTGTCTTGGGAAGCAAGTCCCTATCTTCAATATTTCTTGAGATATTCAAGGTTTTGATCCAAAACTAGCACTATTTCCAAGGTCAATAGCTCGAAGTTGGGCAAAATTGGGCAAACCAAGTTGATTACATTTGAAAGTATACTTAAAATGCAGCCCAATGCATGCCAAATCATAGGTCTTCTTTAGTATTCTCTCCAAGACTAAATGGTGTATTTTTTAAAAACAAACATTTGTGTAGAACATACTAATATCAAAAAATTGCTTCCTGAAAAGTTATTTGCAAAAATTGATTTTCTGAAGGCTCATACCATAAAAATGACATATCTCTGTAAACATACGAGATAGAGGGTTGACGTCTTCAGCAAAAATGTGTGTTTTAATATTGTCTAAAACTTTGCTCAAGACCTCATTTTGCTATCTCGACAAACAAAATAAATAAATTTTTCATCTCTCTGCTAGGTGGATTAATCAAGAAATGGCTAAGTTTAAAAGAAGAAGCTTTTGAAGTGCACAAACTTCTTGAAAGACACTATATGGCTTAAATGGACCGTTTTTGCATAAACTAAAAAACGTACGTTTTGGCACTTTTAGACCACTGTGCAGCCGAGTGAACATCGATGATTTTCTCACCTAATGGAACAAATCTGTAGGGTGGCCCATTGAAAAAATAGCAATAATATGTCTACCATATAAATTTGGGCCAGTCTACTATTACACACAATGCAATTCTCTGTATTTGAGTAGGAATTACAATTAATAAATCGAACGAAACACAAATTGTGCATCAGTCTCGCATCATTCGTCTCATCATAGAGCTGAAAAGCATCTCAGAGCGTGTGCAGAGCAACTTTGTGTATGCATCGCACAACACTCGACAAAGAGAGTGTGGCTCTCCCACTCTCCGCACTCTTTTCCAACTTATCTTTGAGAATGCAATCCACACAAAGAGCGGATACAGGTAGCCAATATTTAAAAATTGATTTTCTCTGATTCGTGATTCGTATTTTTCCATCAGTATTAAACTATTCAACGAGAAAAACCCCAAAAAATCAGTTTTCTAAACCTGCCTGCCAATGAATGTATAGGAAAAGAAATGGCCATCGAATTTTCAAAACATGGTCGCATGTACAAAATGTTTATTGCGTCGAAAAAATACCCTGTAGAAAGGTTCAGAGACACCTGTCTGAGATCAAATCATCATATCATACGTGATCTAGCACGTTAGGTTGAGTTATACTCGTAGTTAAATAGGTTTTCACTTTTTTCAATTCAAACAAAACACACCCCCAATGGGGTATTCTGTAAACTAGTTGAAAAACGCAAATATTAAATTAGAATATCAAAATAAATAAATATGAAGAGCCAGGTAGGCTAATCAATTAAAATGTTAAATCAATGTACTACCCCTGAAAGACTCTGTGCCTAATTTGTGGTCGATCGGACATGATTTAAGAATGGCGCAAAATCTTAAAATTTATAGTTATTTTTTAAACATAAAATCACCCAAGAGAAGGGGCGTACTGTACATGAAATTTCGGTTTTCAAAAAAAAATTGACGATGCCAAATTATTTAAATATGCGTAAAACATCGATATTTTGTGTTAAATAAAAAAAAAAAATGTTTGTCTAAGCCCGACTTTCTGTGACTTACCATTTTTTTTCGTGAGAAGGAAGCGATATATGGCACATTGATGATTTGGCTTCTGAATATCAGCACAACTATCTCCATTAATTTTAAAAACCTTCCGTCGACCGCATTACAAAATCTGTTCATGTCTCGAAACATTGTAAATATGACATACTTACTTTTCAAATCTGAAATATAATCTTACTTTTTCCGGTTGGGTGTTCAAATGAAACCACAATTGAATGCAACTGGTTTCAAAAGATCTATAAGCAACTCATAGATAAATATGGCACCCATAAAAATAAACCGTGCAAAAATCGGGTGTCTGTTCATAGACTATCTTTTAAATGATGCCGCAATTCCAAATGGCAACCTAATTCCTTCAAAATATTGCACAGTTGTTGGATAACTCATTACAAATCGAAAGAACCACAAGCAGCCACGATTTGTTCCCCAGCTATCCAAAGAGTATAATTTTTCGAAAACATGATTTTCAACATAGGGTTACGGGATGTGAACTTGGCCTTGTCCCTCAACTCTGCCTATCAAATAAATAAATCTTTTTTGAGCAATAAATCCCACTTTTAGGAACACTAAAAGTTTATTACTCACTACTAGGCTCATTCAAATGCAAATAAAAACATAAATATTCACTTGCTCGATTTTGAGAAATAAGCATTTTTCATTTGTTTTATAGCCACTTCAACACATTTTAGGTCATTCCTTAATTGTACGGGCTAAGATTTGAACTGCTAACCTTAAGCGTGAAAGGCATGGATTCTAACCACTACGCTTTGCCCGTCCCCCAGAAATAAACATTAAGAAAAGCGTATTTAAAAAAAAAAAAACGATTATAACGCTCCAACCAAAGGACATTACAACTTAGTTGCTTCAGCAAAAATATGTGTCTTTAATTGTTCTAAAAGTGTTAAGAAAAAAAATTGCTTAAAACCAAGGTGTAAAGAGTAAAATAATTAAAACGGTTTTTTAGTGACCACCTTGATAAAATCAAGTATAACACTTAAACCACTAGCGATAAAAAAAATGGTTTATTGAGCAAAATTGCTTCAAATAAAACATTCTATAAATTTACGTAACATTTTGCCGGTATATTTCAACTAAAAATAATTTCACTCACATCGAAATATTGGCTAAAAACTATGAAAGAACTTTCCCGTTATAAGCACAAACAAATTTGATATCTGATCTGGGAAGTCCGAAAAATATTCAATCAATAATTCTCGACTGAACCGAGGGTGAACCCCACAATAACCGTATCCACATACTTAACTATCGTGATTCACTTGATCCACATGTACAAGTTCATCTTCGATTAAGTATAAGCATAACTGACATAAGCAAATTAATATAAATAATTTTTCGTTTTCATTTCTTTCCAGATTGATTTACGCTTTAAAACTAGCTTTTTATTCACTGTGAGTATTACTAAGATCGTACATCAGATCCGTTACGTAAAACTTCACCAAACTGATTGCTATTCAACAAGTTACCTTTCTCTGCTACCCCCCGTTCCATATCATCCAATATGCAGTCGTTTGTAAATACATACTTTCTATACAGTATCCCCTAACAACAAAGCAAATACTTACGGCTAGTAAATACTACTTTGACATAATCTGTATGCACAGGGTGTCACCTTGGAAGATACTCTGTCAATCTCAGCTGGAATGTACTTAGCTACGATTATCTTCCTGTATCTCCAATCGGCATCTCTCGTTTACACATGTCTTACGAAATAATCCAATCTGTATGTACACCACAGTCAGTGTACTGCGAGGGCCAGTCAAAAGGGTTCCCCGTGAAGAAAGTTAACACCTGACTTCATTTCCCTTCGTCGTTCCACCTGAAACAACCATCCGTGGCAGCGGGACCTATTGATTTGAGCAATTAGCATATGTGAGCGCACTTTACGACTTTCACGTTCACGACTGCCCCATTCAGCCCACAGACGTGCCCAACGGGGACAAGTGACCAAGCCGCTAACTATGAAGATGCCATGTAGATACTGCCGAGGTTTGGGTTTTAAATTACTACTCACGTTACAATTACATACACTCTACTTATTGGGTTTCATGGCTGCCCCTTCCCGCAACTCTGACCGGCTATGAGGCGAGACTTTCTAAAATCGAACCGTCGTCGTCGGTGACGACAAAGCCCCGTTGTGATAGGACCGACCACCGAGGGGCTATGGAGTCTCCGCTCACTCAAAGATGGATCATATGCAGATGCAAGTCCGTAGGCACCAACATGTGAAAGGGTTTCATCCCTCTGCCACACTTTGTTGCTAGTTCAGATTGATAATGTTTGATAAAGTTGTACATGAAAGTACCTATACCTGTTTGATTTTGATGGCTGTTGAAGTTGCTAATCAATCACTGTCTTTTTGAGGAAACGGAACAAAAGATTATTTTGAAAGATAGCGTGGAACAAATAAATCTTGTGAAAACTACTTTTATCATCAATATAAATACTGAGATATGTAAAATTGAGACAAATTACAAAAACTAAATGTTTAACCATCGCAATTGGAATGGGCTTCCCATAAAAACACCTTAGTCCAATGATGATGGATATACGTTAGTAAAACGCCTTATGAATCAAAGTTTACTTCCCCTACATCGCATGTCAATTTTTGCTCTTCTTCATTCATGTTTATTAAAACACATCATGATCCAACAGTAACTGTAAAAGACCGACCACTACTCTAAGCGACCTGAGAAAGCCAACGATAATTGATCCAATTTTACGATGTGTCTCCCAAGAACTAGAAATGCCGGTTCATTGTACGGCAATTCTTGGAAATAAGTCATCTCTTTCTCTCTGGTCAAACCACAACACTTCGTTAGTCGTATTACGGAATGTACAAATTGAAGATTAATTAGATTGACTTCGCACCAAATGGTCGTACTTCGAAGATCCGGAAACAGTTCGAAACTTTGATAGAAATAATTAAATTTCACTTGGCAGGTTAGATTCAATTAAATGGACCACTGCGTTTGATACAACTATAGAGTCTGCGGGCCGATCAGAGCAGATGTACGGACAATACAATCAGGAAGGAAGCTTAATTCATCTTACAATACGACGAAGCGGGGGTCGTCCGAGAGCATGGTAATGGCAAATGAAATAAATATGCATGAAGCCGAAGAAAATTATGCATGAAATTGATATCGAAATACCAAGGTAATGTAACTCGGCACGTATCTTGTCTTTGGTCCACACGTTCGTTCATTAATCGTGTGTGGAGGAGTGATCGTCGTCAATGGTTCGTTTGAGTATTCGTTGTTTTTCGCTGAATGGTGAGTTATTTTCAACTTCCAACTGTAGCAGGTTTTTAAGTATAAACATTGACATATGTTTGGTTACCACAACCACCTTGTTCGCATCGTACCACTTTCCAGGCACTCCTGGACGTATATCTCTTGATTGATGGTTCCCGTAGCAATGGAAATGCCGCTTTTTAAACAACACTTGCATATGGCCTGCCAGACGAGATATTTTTTCGGGAGCTTCGATAGTTTGATGGTTTTGAAAATTTCAGCCACCTTCCCTTTTCCTGATGCGGTATAAAACTCCTGTCCCGGAAGCTGCTTGAAATCCGCCTTCACATAAGTTTCGTCGTCCATGACGACACAGTCGAACTTTGTGAGCAGATTCGTATACAGCTTTCGGGACCGCTGCTTTGCCGACGTGTTTTGTTTGTAATCTCGGTTCGCCACCTTCACCTTCTTAAACGTCGACAACCCGAGTCGTTTATTGGCCGTTGCACAGTAGTATGGGAGACATTGAGCTTGTCAGTGACTTCCCGGATGGAGAGGTTAGGATTCTGCTTATATTTCACCGCCACCTTCTTCGCCCTCGCTGCCACGTCCGGATTACGATTGTCGCCGCTTCCAGGTTTCCTGGCGGTCAACAGACGCTCCCCGAACACTTTTAAAACGTTTGTCACGGTTGATTTGGCCACATCCAACAATTTTGCCAACTTGGCGTGTGAGAACGTCGGATTTTCTTGCTCTGCGAGCAAAATTTTGACACGCTGCTCCTCTTGCTTGGACGTCATTTTGAAAACTGAAGAGCAAACGGTGGAAACTCATCATAGCAACCATTGTATATACACTCAACTTCCAAATGCAGAATTTCAGGTTTTTTAATGCATTTTTAACAGAAATACACCAATTTGAAGCTGACCAATTTTTGCGCGTTCTAAACTTTAACTTTAGCAAGAGTGTTCAATTTCGTGAAACACGGTGAGTTGAGCAAGCTCCAACGTCAGTAGATTTTTTTGTGTTGTACTTTGTACAACGGTGCGAGTACTGAAAGGTTGAAAACTTAGATTTTATTTCTGAATTCGAGCTTGGAAAAACACGATAGTGCTCGGACTATTATCTCTCATTTTGCCGGAAGAGAATAAATTTAAATCTATTTTTAAATTCAGGTTTTTCAACAAACAAGCAGTTCACATGTAATATTTTTAAGTACATGCAAACCAAAAATGTATTACATTGAATGTTAGTTGCATTTCCTATCATCCTCTGCAGTGAATACCACTACTCGGGAAGTTGATATTGCAGACGATGCAATGATTTTTTATCTTTTTTTTATTTCGTGTTCTATCTACGCAGTTGATTATACAAGCAAGCATTTTATTTATAACATTGTAGAACGCCGCACACAGTTGCCGCGATTCTCTCCAATTCCCGTTCAGCAGAAAAAGGTTTGATCATCGCAACGTTCGTGGTTCGTGGTTCGAGTCCAGTCAGCAACCTTTTTTCCTTTTTTTTACATAATTCACCAATACACTCCACTGTTTTCGGTCTCCAATTTTCTTAAATTGGACTCTCATCATCCGTCCATGCGGTCCTCTAACATCCTGCGATGATGAATCCCTCATTATTGTAAACAAATCTTACATGCCCCGGTTGGGTATATCTTCCGAGTTTTACTAAATCGTTATGTTTGGCGCCATGAACGAAATATACAACCTAATTATTTCACCTTCCTTAAAAGCTGCTCCTTCTTTTATCGCACCAATTTATGTGACTTTTTTTAGTCATATGGAGCTTCACTGAAATAGTTGAAAACGTAAACCCGCTGGTGACAAATCGTCGTTTTACCCGTGTAAATTTGAACTGTTTTAGTAGTGTTTTGTGTTATAGAGTGCGAGTTCGTTTGGTGTACCTCTGTGAAGTGTAGGATTTCGTGTAGCTTTGTGGATAAGTTGAGAAATTGTAGATTAAAAGTGTCGTCCCGTGGAACAGTGGTGTCAATCTTCATTTTATTTACATTTTTTGTTTTGTATCTGTCGCTGCACTACTGCTACCGTACTTAGCGTGCCAAATCGTCAGTATCTCTTGTTGCATTACACTCTGCTACCGTACTTTTGTGTATTGAATAGTGTTTCTACGTCTGATTGCCTCGTTTCGCGCATCGGAAATTTGCTATAGTTTTTCGTTACGTGGTAGTCTTTGTTGCGTGTTTAAAGTTTGCGTCGCATTTTTTGTGATCATGGCTTGCAAGAAGTGCCAAAAAACCATTTCGGACTCCGAACGTATTGTTTGTCGCGGTTTTTGTGGTGACACATTTCACGTGATTTGTGCCAAAGTTGATCTCGAACTTCTCGATCAACTTGGATTGTACGAGACGAATGTCTTCTGGATGTGCGATCACTGTGCGGCGCTTTTTTCAAACGGCCACTTCCGTAATATCGTGAGCCGTGACGTCAATCAGACTTCTGTGGCTCCAAACGCGGTTGATTCGATGAAAGAGGACATCGAGAAATTGAATTCGGCTGTTATTGCTCTTGCAGCCAAAGTGGAATCAAAGATCCCAGTCAGCTCAACTCCACGTTGGCCTAAAAATGACCGCTTTGATTCCGGTCGTGGCACCCCGAAACGTCGCCGTACTTCATCTAGCACTGACGACAAGCCCATACTGTGTGGTAAGAAAGCACCTATCGACTCGGTCAGAACCGTGGACCTGAACGATGATCTGGTGTGGGTTTACTTATCGGCGTTTCATCCCACTACTACGAACGATGAAATTTCATCTCTTGTCTCTAAGTGTTTGTGTCTGGAAACAGACGAGAAACCTCGGGTTGCCAAGTTGGTTCCCAGAGGAAAAGATCCGTCAACGTTAAACTACGTTTCCTTCAAAGTCGGCGTCAACCAAAACAAACGGAATGTTGCCCTTTCCTGCGATTCGTGGCCGGAGGGCATTCAGTTCCGTGAGTTCGATGATTCCCGGTCAAAGAAGGTGACCAAAATCACCCGTATTGGTCCAGCACAGTGACACCAGTTCCAGGATACTTCCTTTTCAATTACTAACGTGCTGTTGGGCGGATCTGGGACGCAACAACACAGCGCTTCGGAAGCCTCTGATCCCTCCGAACCAGTCGAGCTGTTTGTAGATCTAATCA